GTTGATTGCTTGAGATGTCATTCACTTCAAATTAATTTATTGATGTCATATGATTTTCCGAGAATCAGTGGACATTTTGATATTGCATCCAAACCTCTAAAGATTTGGATACAATATCCAAATCTTTAAAGATTTTCATCCAGTTTTTCATTGGGTATCCAAACACATGCATGTGATGTGGTATAGAAGCAGTGATTTGTAGTTGACTTTATGAATTATTACTGAGTTTGAGAATTACTTTTCTCAAATGCTAAACGAACAAATCAAGAAATTAAATCCTCAAGATCAACTTATTATAAATACAGTTACATACTTAATTACTTGTTTCTTTATTTATGATCAGTTTTTTTTCCAGAACGATAGCATGATGAGAGTGATAAGGAACCTTACTGTCCATGATGCAATAGCTGGTATCTCTTAATTGGTCTTAGAGATGTACCCTGACAGCAAAGAACTGTTTATTGAAAGCAGACAGTGAGATGACCATAGATGACATAAAGGGTTCTCCTACAATTCCCACCAAATTTGAGAGCAGAAGAAATCATTGACAAAGAAAATTTGCTCAAGTTCTCTCTGGGACACATCCCTAAAAAAACTGGAGTCCTTCTTAGTCTTTGCTGCAAGCTCACCATGCCTACCTCAGATTGGGCTAGGTGTCATCAACATAGAGTTTGACAATATCAAATTTTTCTACTCATTCACACGTTCATTTTATGTAACATTGAAAAGATCCTTCCCAGACCAAGGTAAATTTTCTACTATCTGGGAATCAATAGAAAAGCCTTTTCTAGCCTTGTTTTATTTCCTTAGGTATTGCCGTAAGATGGATTCCAGCTTTTTGAGGTATAATACAGTTTGTCATAACACATTGTGTATTTCACTGTAACCACAACTTATCATTTTTGTAACATTGCTGTTTAACATTAACTGTTAGGTTGCTGAAGATGTCACAAATCTTGATAACAGCCTCAATTAAGAAGTGGCTAATGTCCTTCAAGACTGTTGGCTTCCCATGAAATTAACAGTGAGCATTGCCAGGATTGTTTCCTCGAGTTTCATTTTCTTTTTAGAAAAGAAGAATAAATCAAGAAACCACATTCTCAAACCAATTCACAATGAGTTGGAGTCCTTCTTAGTCTTTACCACAAGTTCAACATGTGTACCCCAGTTTTGGCTCAGTGTCATCAAGATAAAGTCCAACAATACAGAACCTATCCTTCTCATCCACAAAATAATTTTGTATAATATTACAAAGGTTCATCCCAGACCATGGTAAATCTTCCTCTTCGCTTAAGGCTGTACGTTAGAACAATGGAATAGCCTTTTCTAGCCTGGTTAGTTTTTTTAGGTATTGCTGTATGGTGGATTGCCAACAATAATGCAGTTTTTTGTCTTAAGGTTTTTATTCTTATTTTTTATTAATTCTAATTTGTAATTAATGTAACATACACTGCAATGTAATATACAATGTAGGTACATCTTGTAGTTTTTTCTTTTCTTGGGCTCATTTTTCATGTTGTATTTCTATAAGTACTTTGTTACACTTACACGATTTTAACAGGCTCCCATTTAATTCAAGCTTACTGCGTAACTTTATATTACTTTATATTGACATGTTTTGTACCTTTAAGTTATTCTCTGTAGACTCCCATTCAATCCAGCTTACCAGCCTGGATAAATGCTGCTAATAAATTAGTATATAAAATAAATTTTCACCTTCAACCTGTAAATATTATCAACTTAAAATCGAATTCATAGAGTCAGTTTTGATAAAATGTTGAACTTTTGTGGACTTTTTTTTTTTTGTCATTATTTATTATACTATATACATTTATAAATCCAGTTCATAATTGAGACCTCAAGGAGGTCGGTTGGAACACACTGAAGAGGATTAACTGCTGTCTATGCAGGCCTTCAAACTGTAGCTGCAATGTTCTTCAATGGACTTCTTTTTTGTCATTATTAATTAAACTATATATATCTAAAAATCCATTTCATAATAGAGCCCTCAAGGAGGTCAGTTGGAACACACTATGAAGAGGTTTAACTGCTCTCCATGCAGGCCTTCAAACTGTTGCTGCAATGTTTTCACAACACAGCACGAAAGCAAAGGAGAACTCTCCCATGAATGCCTGTATGTGTTCAACTAACAATAAAAATGAAGAGCCAGTATTGTTTATTTGCCGGCTGTGAATCAGGAAAGAAGAAGTTTGGACTATGGTAGGCAGAGAATTTGACAGAAAAAAGAACTGTCATGCTTCTTTCTAATGTTTCACCACCTTTAACAGTTGCAACTGAAGACAATGCCATGTAGTTCCTAACACATGAACATTACAGTGGTACAGGTAAGAGTAAGTCTGTTTACCAGAAATATGGCTGATCAGGTCAGTGTTTGACTGTTTTCTGTAGAATGGGTTGACTGAGAATGTTCTGGAATGAGAAGCCCCAATATTCATATTGATTTACATGTCTATGTAACTGCTGTGTCTACATACTGCAGATTGCTCATCCAACTTCCCTGATGTCAATTACCAGAGGCATTATTGTTCTAAAAAAAAGTAACTTAAAAAAGAAACCTGAAATAAAAGTACTACAAAACAGTCTTTTATATAATTTCAATTTTCTCTATGTATGTATTTTTTTTTCTTTTTTTGTTAAATGCCATTACCAATCAGGTCCTGTAGCAGCTTAGCTACTTTTTAAGAAATATTTGAGCATTACTTTTTGGGAAAGCATTCAGTGCTAGTTTATAATACTTGATGTAATGGAAGGCACTTTTGAATATGTTCATAGTTTTAAAAGCTATATAAATGTTTATTATTACAATTCTAATGTGAGAGCCTGTTATTATCAACAATAAGAACATTGAGGTTGTTCCATCCGCTAAATTACTATGTTACGATATCGAATGATTTGAAATGGAATGTGTACATAGAAATGATATGTAAGAAAGTTGAAGCACGTTTCTGATTTCTTAGGCAATTAAAGCATGCAAAAGTGCCAGCTGATGACCTTCTAAGTTTCTACACCACTTGCATCCAGCCAGTGGCAGAGCATGTCCAGTCTTTCATACCGCGCTACTGCAATATCTATCTGATCAGTTAGAATGCCTGCAGAAGTGAGCACTACACATAATAAGCACTAATGATTTATCTTATAGACAGGCTTTAGAAGTTTTTCATATACCTACCTTGTATGACAGGAGAGAGAGACGATTGGTAACTCAATATTTCAGGAGATAAGTAATAACAATCACAAGCTTTATTCACTACTTCCACCACCTTACCTTGGCACATCGCGAACACGAAAATATCGCAAGTTCCAAGTCCTGCATTTTAAAATCAATTGTTTTAGAGACAGTTTTATTGTGGGCCATTGCCAATAGCACATCCTTGTACAACTCATATATATTAATTGATCCGATTTTGAATCATTTTTAGCTGTATCTTAATTTAGTGTTTACATTATAATAAACTTTACAATTGTTAAATTCTTATGAATTAACTTTCTTAATTTATCATTATATAATTTATAGTTATAAATAATTTACGTTTACATTTGTAAAAATTATCGTAATTCAGCCCTCAGGCTGCAAGGGTAATTTAATAAAACTATCTATCTATCTAACTAAAATATTCTAGATAAATTTAACTTTAATTTTTGAAATCTTAATTCATTTTGATTTGGAATATCTGCAGCCAGACACTTCTTACAATTGATACGGTTTCAAAGCTCTAGTTTTTGCTAAAGGATAGGCCATTATTCTAACCTCTCTTGTTCCTTATTAAGTCAAACAAGGAACACATAAGATGAGAAGTTGATGAATATTCAAATGTGATAAATATAAGACGCTTCACACCCAAGGAGACACATTTGTAACAAGTCATTTCCATGGGTCATGAAAATGATATTATGAAATCAGTGTTAAATTAAGCACTGACCAATTCTCAAGACCCATGATTTATCATCTCATGAAACTCCTGGGCTTTAGGATGCCTTTGAGAGGATTTCACTGAGTAATCATTGCCCATGAATTTAGCCATCCCCTAACATGGCCCACAAAATAATGTGATTGCAGTTCATGTGGTATGAAATGTGTTGTGGTGAATTTCAAGGAAAATCAATTTTCCATTTAGAACTGATTTGTGACACAACAGATATCTTCATTTGCATTTCATTTGAAATGCACTAATGGCAAAGCTTTTAACATTGTGACCACTGCCCACCTTTTAACAACATTAATCCAAGAACACCTAGTAGATCTGGGATGTTTTTAGAGATAAATTTGCAAATTCATGGCGAGGAAACAGCCTCAACAGCCAAGGTAAGTTCAAATGTATCATAAAGAGGGTAAGTTTCTATAGAAACTTTGATGTTACATCAGTGGGAGAGTGTAGCAGGTAATTTAGTGTTGACAACTAAGTTGAACACAGAAATTGGCCACCATAAAGAGTAAAAAGGCTGACGCTTCGAGCATTATCCCTTGTCAGAGAGATTGGAAAAAATTCAGAACTGATCAGAACAATCACTCTGATGATGGGCTAATGCTCACAACATCAGCCTTTCCACTGCTTACAGTGGCCAATTTATGTTTTCAACTCAGTTTTTAACACTAAATTAACAAATATATTGTAAGTTTCAAATATGTTAGGGCGACATGTACTGCGTATTTGGTAAGATTTCTTGTGTAATTTGTGGTATTTTGCATGTTTTGGTGAATTTCACAGGATTTACCTGAAATGCATGGCTGCCTGACCACACGAAAACATCAGAAACCCTGTATCAGGGACCTTCTTCAAAAGTAATAACAGGCCAGAAACAAAATTTGTCTCATTACTCAAATAACCCTACTCTATAATAATTAGCCATGCATAACGACATTTTCATGCATTTCATTTTAGAAAGAAACCAAAGAATTCATCAAATGAATCATGACTGATAAATATTTGGTACCCCCTTTAAAAACAATAGCAAAATCACTTGTCTATTTATTTACCTTCAATGCTGTTCCTTTTAGAGTGCTTTCATGAATAACTGATGATAAATTTCCATGACTTAAATATTGAAAAACAGCTGAGTGAAGAAATGATGGTGAAGGTCCACTTTGTAGAACTGGCACAACCATTAGCTCAGCAGCCAAGCAGTAATCCCTTTGATTTAATACCACCATAGAATCAGTTGATTTACCCATGGAGGAAAGAGCTCTTTTAACATAATCCAGAATTTCTGTAAAGGAAACACAAAACATGCTGGGATATTGTTCTCATGTTGTCCATGTCGGTGCTCATTAAGTTATGGTGTGAAAATATATACAGGTATAAGGAGGTTAAGTTCATTTATATCATAAAGAAGATAAAAATCAAACAGGTTGAAGTGTTCTGCTAATGAAACATTTAACCTCTTCACCTCCCTACCCCTAGATTAATATGCCAAATCTTTACCCACGGACACATTTGTGAAATACTGTCCATCCATAAATTAGCTTACATGCATTTTGTCTAGGAATTATCCTTAAATACCACAAGACCATTGCATACACAACCAGTACTGATAGGTGTTGAGAAAATCTTTCATTCCAAGATCTTTTTCACAAATTCTCCTTAAACTTCAGCCATTTGACATCCTACATGTGTTTTGTATGGGCATTATCCTTAAATACTGCAAATTAAGCATTGCAAACACATCCAGTACCAGTAAGGTTCTGTATTGAGAAGATCTTTCATTCAAAGAAGATCATTTTTTGCAAAATCTCCTTAAATCTCAGTCACCCGAAACTTAGCAACAAAGTTTCTACGTCTCATAATTAATTAATTAAGGATACAAAAGGGCATACCTGTGAAGCACTCTCTCCTTGCTTCTCATTGTCTATTGTCAGTTCTCTAATGAATACAATTTTCACATGGTCATAGCCACCTCATAGCAAATTTTGTTGAGCCTGTTTAACATCTTTCCATAAGTGCCTGTGCCTGATGTTCATTCTGACTGGTTTTTTAAGACTCATGTTGTTGAGCAACCCATGGAGGATATCCTTGATACTTTCCTTGATCTCAGGCTTAGTAACCTGCAGGGCTGGATCTATTATGCAAACTTCTCTTCCTTTATCCACACAATTTGAATTTTGTTCCTTTCCATCATTTAATACAGTGCTCACCCAAATTTTGCAGCATGCATCTGCATGTTCTCCTATGGTAATTAAAGGAAAAGAGAGAAAGCAATATGTGGGACATTCTGCATCATTGTTGCCAGGGATGATATAAACTACAACTTCCTTAATTAGGGATCATTTCCTTTATTCTTGTGACTTTAATGTGATTCAGGTGTGACATTTTAAGGAGGAATTTTAAGTAGATGCTGGTCTCTCTTAAGGGTTAAAGGATCTATATAGACCAGAAAGTGACAAGGCAAGTAAAAATGTACTGTAAGTTAGTTCAGTGTCTGTATATTTTCAATGCATATGACAGGAAATATTCAGAGCACTTTAAATGTACCTCAACTCTAACTTGTTCCCTCTTCACGATTCTTTGAATAACTGCAGCTGTTAAAGTAACTTACTACACATGACAGAAACAAAAAAAATCAGTGTGGATGACATGTTATTTCTTAACTGAATAAATACACTCTGAATGATGATGTCCCTTTAAATCACAAGCTGTCACAAAGAATCCAAGAATCAAGAGGAGCAGAGATCTTTTACATCAGAGGCACAAATTCACAAATGCTATGACTCCTTTCAATCAGCCACCTTTTTCTTCATGTTATAACATACATTTCATGTTATAACATACATTTCATATAATTGTCACCACTGTTGGCTATGCTGGCACCTACCTTTGGTATTTGTTATGCAAGATCTCGTGGTTCAGTACTGTTATCATTCCACTTGGACTGTCGTTATTGTGATCTTTGAGGTATTGGCATATTAAAGATTCATTCTGCAGCTCAATGCCATTGTTGGCAATGACATTGACCATAAACCTGTCTTTTCTGAATACCTACATTCATTGCTAAAATGGCAATGATCACACATCTGTACATCTGATCACCATGTTATGCTAATTAATTGAAGCACTTCCTTTAACCTTTTATAAAAAAAAATTAGAAATGAAATAGTTCAGTTTCCTGTTTAAGAAATATATACATAGCAATGATCTTATAAGATGGAGACAATGGTCAAAACTGAGGAATTAGGATTTATGACTTTTCCCCTCTCCCTATTCCTAGTTGATGCATTTCATTCTTAAATTCTTCAATAAACCAGTATCAGCAGTGCTAAGCCATGTAAACAGAGTGAATTAATCATAACTATTGCTTCTACCAACTATCTTTAACGAAACTAGTTCCTGAGCTTTGGATTTGCCATCCAGAGGCTATTGTCCTGTAGGGAAACCCCATTTTCCTAAAATTAATCCTTTGATGTCAATTTAGCAATTGCACAAAGCAAAGTCAAAACCTCTCTTTTAAGTCTTCCTCAGCCACCTCTCCCACCAGAGGTGCTGATAGAGAAAGTCACAGATGTGTGGGGTTCATTTATAGTACACTGGATTTGTTAAAGCATACAAGGGTGACATTCATTTGAACTTGTGTTAGCTTTTTAGTGTATTTATAAGAAGTTTAAAAATAATGCATCTATAATGCAAATCTACAGCACCACACAGGTGCATTGATTAACCAACCTCCAAATGACTGCTTTTGTTTTCACAGGTGCATTTTCAATCTTTATTATGAATTCCTTACCTGTAAATGTTTGCTTGATTATATTTGTTTCCTCTTAGCAAGTCCATCAAAAAATGTCTGGAATTCCAAGTAGCAATCTAATCATGGAAGATTGCTAACATGGAAGCTTGTCTTGCAGCTGTTGTTTCACTTTGAATGCTTAAAGAGCCCACCTACACAATTCACATTAGTTTAAACCACTAGAAAGAATAGCAGCAAGTTGCATCTCATGGTCTTTTAACTGGCGTCAAGAAGGGTAATCTCATTTCCGAATTGATTTAACAGCTACTTCTGCCATTTTGTTTGGTGTGCAAACAATACAGTTTCAGCTTATGTTGTTTCATCACTTCCTCCCTGGACAGTTAACACATGCCTAAAGATAAGGGTAAATTTTAGCCAAATGGACCAATCAGAGCACTTTGTTTCCTTGGGTATTCCGCCAGGTAAAGTTTACCCAACTAGAGTAAACTTTGCCACTAGCAGTTCACAAAACAGAGCACTTTTGTGGGCTGCAATTACATTCTTTTATTGTAGCTCCCTAGAATCAAATTTCGTCATTTAGAGGTGAAGGTACAAAACTGATCAGCTTATGAATAGGATGGTGTACTTTTGAATTTGTTGAGATTCGAAAAGTGACACGGCTTTGATGACAATGTCATGTTTGTTTTAGCATTGTATCAAAAATTTATGACACAGAGGTGTTTTATTGAAAGGTTTTAGGTAACACGTTATCTTTACACATCTTGGTGCCACATCAGTCTTACACCAAAGAAAACATCTGTTTAAATTATTTCTTTCTTCCTGAGAAACAATTTGTTATTTGGTAGAGGAGTAGTTCTGTTTGAGGTCCCTTTCACATTCAGCAAGGATTTCTACACTGCAGTACATGATAAATTACATGTTACTTGAATTTCTGAGATCCAAATGGGAAGATATCGTTTTGTGAAAATTTTTTGTTAGTTCTGTTGTAGTTGCAAAACCTTTCGATGTATTCAAACTGTCCATTTGAAAATTGCTTTCTGCAAATCCAGTTTTGCCGACCATTGTTTCTTGCAAATTGGAAAGTGTACTTATCGGACTAATTTGAAGTAATCTACACTTACGTACCATCACTTCTCAAAAGGGCCTGTTTAATTGAACTAAAAGGAGGCTTTGCTTTTGTTTTATTAATAAGTTTTATGGAACAAGTTTACACACCAGTAAATCAGGCATGTAATCTAATTGAAGTGTCCTATCCAGTGGCATTAGCAGCATAACTTACAAGTTTACAATCGTTCATCAAGCCATCATGACAATATCCTCCATTACTTTCCTTTTTCAAAATTCGTTTTCTTTACAATTCAAGAAATGGTTAACATTTTGAATTGTACAGTAAGATGTGCAGCATTTCACTTGCCATAAACATGGCACTTGTAATCTTTAATAACCTCGGTGCCACGTAAGTTACCCACCAAAGAAGTTATTCCTTCTTTCCTGAGAAACAGTTTGGTATTTGGTACTAGAGAGGTAGTTTTGTTTCAGGTCCTTATCATGTTCAGCTTGTAGAGATACACTTGAAATCATGGATGGTTTGGTGGCACTACTGACAAAGACTTGTTTTGTCACAAGCTCTTTGCTTATGTGGTGCCTGGAAAAGAAGTGAAAAAAAAGACTTGAGGACATTGAACTAAAACATAAATATGGTTTCAAACCAACCCTCCTTTAACTAGTAAACATCACAAGCATACTCACATTAAAAGTCTTTTACATTATCCTCTGGATCTTCAGGGAAGAAGGGCCACAGCTTTTCTTTGATCAAAACCACCCTTCTATCCCTTCTGTGCCAGAGCAATGCTTCTTTTTTGGTTAAATACCAGAGGAAGAAGTTTACTACCTGATAAAGAACAGATTCAATATTTAAGGGGGATAGCTAGACATTATGTTCAAAAGAATTGTAGTTAGTGTAATTAACCAGTCAAAGAAGAGTGCATGTAACAATATGGATGTAATCGTTAATTCATTTCCAGTCTGTGTTATGTCACTAAGGCCATGGTAACCGGCAGACCATGCTTTCTGTTTGTGCTTTTCCACCTGTGTGTGTGCATTGAATAAACAACACAGTCGTAAACTGTTTCTGCCTTCTTGTTCTACATCCAAACAACTTTACAGGGTGTACCCATAAAATCAATCATCTGTCTGCATGCTTTGGCTACAATTTGATTATGATAACATAATTTTACCTTTACCTCACAAAACACAGTATATTTTAAATATATTATGATCCGAGTCGGTGCATTAATGGCATCAATAATGCTCAGCCGTTTGGGACTGAGTCTTACCCTGAAAACGAAAATGGACAACTTCGCCTTGCCAGATTTACCTCTTGCTACAATTTGTAAGAAGCAGGAGAATTAGATTAACTTAAGAAAAACTTTATGTTCTAAACTGCTCAAGAATACTTACTGGTAAGTCTCATACTTTCTGTCAAATATACAAGAAATCAAGTTTGGTCTATTGCCATCTTTCAGGAACTTTCCCTCTTCAAACAAAGACATTCAAAATGAGACCCGGAAACAAAGGGATATAAGACACAGTTAGCCGTGGCGTTTTCGTTCAGTTGCTTTTCAATCTGAAATTTGAGGCTAAATTTCGAATTTGAGTCACACTTCTTAGTTGAGAACTACTGTGAATTTAACACACTGTTAAATTTTTTTAGATTGCCAACTGTTTACCCAACGGTTGTAACCTCTCATTAACCAAAGTAGGAAAATTACACCTTTGTGTTCAGTTTAACAATATGGGGTTAGGTGCTTCCAGTACAGTGGAGTTCATTTCTATCTTCATTTCCTTGCAGGACAACACTGACAACTACCATTATGAATAGTGTTTGATTCTGAGATATCAAGACATGCTATGTTTCCTTGCGTCCAGGTCACATTTTGTACAAGGGTCTTGAAGGGGTGATGACTTTAACAGCTAGTGGTTAAAATTTTGGCCATTATCCTGCTAACAGCTAACCCAAAATGACACTAAATGAAATACTAGAAAACAACAAATTTAAACGGTTAACTTTTGGTACGACTGAAGGTAAAAATTTGTTAATTTTTATGCCCAATGGTAAAATTTTTTGGACATTTTACAGCTAAGGGTTAAACCCATTAAGACCCTCATGTAGGTCTTCTCTTGAAATATATTATTTTCCTTACAAAATCACTTCGTATAGCACTTTAAGGTCACAAGAATTGCATGGTTATGGGAGCTGAATGTAAAAAGACGATTATCATGTAGCATGTATGCCCCAAAATTGGACATAGGCCTGCCCTAGTAGCAGATTATACAACCTATAAAGGCTTTGAAAATCAAAACAAAGTCAAGGCTCCCCTTTGGGTCCAATAGAGTGAAACTACACACATCACTCACTGCTTGATCTGGAAAGAATCTTTGAAAAACAACTCTGAAGAATTTTAGTTCTCATTTTAGAGATGACACATGCAGTGTACCATATAGAAAAATTACAGCGAGTCATGTTAGTGATAACAACAGTTGACGAACATAATCAAAGAATTATCAAATGGTGGAGCCATTAAAAACATAAATGCCATTAGTTCCCTACCAATTTCTGTTTAAATAAGTAGATAGTCTCGAGTGTATGGAATAATAAACAATACACAATTCATGGGAAAATTTTGTAACTTACCATGTATTGCAGTGTAGAAATCCTTCCTGAATTTTATATGGACCTGAAACACAACTACCTCTCTACAAAATACCAAATTGTTTCTCAGGAAAGAAGGAATAATTTAAACACCGATACACTGCTAATGCTGCTGGTACATGAGCATAGATTACTTCAAACAAGTCTGATAGGTATGCTCCGAATTTGCAAGGAACACTGTGAGGAAAATCTGGAAATCAAGATTTTCAGAAAGCAATTCTCAACTAGACCACTTGAATACATCAAAAGGTTTTGCGACCACAACAGAAAATGTAACAGCACTCTTTTGCAAGATTTGAGTTGGAAACCAGATAGCCTTCACTTGGATGTCATGGG